CTGGCTGTAAACTCCAGCGGACTGTTATTCAAGAACCTGACTGTTGTGTACACATCCATTTTTACAGAGTAGACTTTTTTGTATGCAGACTGTTGGTTCCTTGCCTCTCAGGCAGATACACTCTGACTTTGAAGGAAGCCCCCTAGTTAGTCAACTCCTATGTCATGATTGTTGGGGAGCCGGTGGGTCTATTCTTGTTTTTCCTATATTGGGGCCCACACGGGGGGAAAAACTCATATCAAGTAGCCTGTTGCCAGAGATATGTACTGGTGCCTTATGCCAGTAATTGCATGTGCAACTAGTGATCTTATGTAAGTGCTGCTTCCATCAACGATGAACTGCACACATTGTGTTTTCTCTGGGACACAAACAGATCAACAGAACTATTATTATTATCAAGAGTCAACTATTACCCAAAAAAAAATTATGTCCTGGTTTAGATTTGAACATAAGACCTTCAGGACAACAACATGCATCCCGCCACAGTGCTACTTCAGAAATATGTGGTAACTAGCTCTGGATTTTTATGTCAAAGGTCTCTACATATAAATCTCTGCTTGTTTTCTCCTTTTTCTGTGAGTGCCTCTCAGCACGTACAAATGTATTTATCATACTAGCTTTACTCTCCAATATCAGGAAACAGCTGCATTAGATGAGTCACTGACTTCTACAGCCTGAGAATACAGAACAGACACTGACATTAGGATCAATGACATCTGTCAGTTATGACTCGCTGTCATTTATGACACCAGATTGTGTATAAAAAAAAACCATACATGGGGATCGATGCTCATTTGCCAGCTCTATAGACTCCTTGAGGAATTAAAGACTTCTATACTGCTTTGTTTACATGCTTCCTGTGGCTTCCAGGGCCCCATTATGAGGGGGAGGTGGGAGAGGGAATAGAGGCCCCCCCCCCTCCTAATCCTATCAACAAGGAAACATGTTATTAAAGTCGACTAATTAAGAATGTTTCCTTCGGTCAAAGTGCATCTGCCTGAGAAGCGAGGAACCAGCAATCTGCATACAAATAAGACAGATATGTAAAACGGTTGTACATGCAAAACCTCAAGGTCTGGAACAAGACCAATGTCCAGAGCTGAACGAACAACCAGAATTTTCCACGTGAGTGTACAGCCAGTGAAAAAAGAAGAAAAAGATTTAAGTTTCCATTCTCAGTTTTTGTTTCTGAGCTCTGTCCATATCATGTGATGGGTTCTAAATCTCCTTAAAGACTTTGGTTAAAGCTTAAATCTGTTCAGGTTGTCTGGTACCTGAAAATGGCTCTCATCTGTCACAGTGAATTTTAGGCTCAAGATTTGTCTCTGAACCCAGTATCAATCAATCATACCTGTAGGGAGTGTGTTGCAGAGCTCTCATTTGCTTCTCCAGACACTGGCAGGGAATACACAACTGGCACATATATATATATTCACCATCATTGTCCTGTTGTACCATTAAATATCACTGAGCGCTCACTGTCTTTTCCTCGATTCCATCCTGTACAATCAATTCGATAAAATAGACGGACTCCAGTCCAGCAACTTGAGCCTCTCTCATCAACATTTGTTTTAGGGTTTCACCCGGACATGCTGTCTTTTTCAGTCCCTTTATTTCCCATTGCAGTGCCTGTGAGTCATTGCTCATTTCTTTACAGGATATGTCCAGTAAAGCGCCAAGACACATCTTAGAATGTCACTAACTCCTGACTGAGCACGCACACACACGCGGCTGGTATTAGGCTTTGGTTGGTCATGTTGCCTTCATGGGTTTTACATTTTTGTTGTTGTTGACAAGGCTACAGGAACTTTATGGGGTTTGCATTTTTGTTGTTATTGACAAGGAGCTTCATGTCAACAGAGTTGTTGCCACACATGAGCAATATACAGGTAGCCAAAAAAAGGAGATACTAAAGATGGGATCAGAGTGGTAATGGACTTGTATGATTTGTGATAAGGATGATCAGTCAATTAAATAACTAACTAACAAATATCCCTGTAAATTGACCCAACCAAATGCCCACATGTGTTATACTAATGTTATTATGTAATCTGAACAGCACCAGAAATTCTCACACTCAGCAGGATCGTCTACGGAGGCAAAAAACATGAATTACCTGAAGAATCTATGTTACTGCACAGGACTCATTCCTAAGTGCTCAGTCTTTTCTAGAAATAAAAAAATCGCAAGATATGGACGTTGACCATCCCTGTAGTAATTCAGATATCTACATGTCTGTACTAACCTCTCTTGTTTTTGTTTCAACTCATTGCATGCTCAATTCCCTCCATTGTGTGTATGTATGTAAGTTGTACCCCACCAGGACATCACACAAGCGATAAACACCTGGTGACACAAAGTGCCACCATGCGGATGAGGATCACTCGTGGAGAGGTCCCGGAAACCCTGTTCAGCTGTTCGGCCATATTTATAGCCCGGGTATATTTAGGTACCCCAGGAAAATCCAGGTTAGGGCTTCAAAATAACAAACAATTGCATCCCACAAAAGGACGGCTTGAACTTCTCATTCCCTCCATTCCCAGATATACCACTTTCTCCTACTTCGGTGCCCCAGTGATAGGTACTTTTTAATTTAGCACATCTTGCTCAAAGAAACAATAAAAAAGGACATTGGAAAAAAATGAAATGAAATGTCTATGATGAATCCTAACCGTAGCAAGAAGAGACAGGATCAACAGTGATGATATCAGAAAGTTCCAGTACTAATCTACACATAATGACACAACAGATTAGATGGTTCTGATTCAAGGTTCATGGATTCTATCAAAGGCGACCACTCCTGGTGCACACGAATGCAACATCAGATATCTTTTACATTGGTTTTACAATTAGTAAAGTGACAATCCCTTTTCCAGGCCTCTAGGCATATACGGCATATAGGGCTAGACCTATATTTTAAAAGACCAATCGGCACAAGATGGGTTATGTGCTCAGCATCACGCCGGCCGCCTTGACTTCCTGGGACTGCACCTGGTACCCACTCAAGGCTGGGTCGACCTGGGAGTCAAGGTCATTTTTGAAAAAAAGTCTGCCTCTGTCAGGGAGCGACCCATGACCTTCCGACCTGCAGGTGACCCTTTAGCCGCTACACCATGGCGACTCCCACGGGTTTTACAATTAGGTATATAATATGTTATGCTGTCATGTAACGTACAGGTCTAACAACGTACACTGAAAACATACAATTATTTTCCAAACAATGTGTTCCAGTAGTCAATTTAAATAACACGAACACAAATAATACATTGTATAATTTATTCTCTAAAATATTTCACTGTGTCTCCTCAAATGTTTTACTACAGAGTTACATTAACACATAATGAAACGATTTTTCTGAGACATTTATTTTCAAATGCATTATTATTCCATATCTTTGGTAGTTCTCCAACTTTCCCTAGCATGTTAAAATAAAAATTCCCCGTGTGGGTTCCGGGGCCCTACTATGGGAAAAACAAGAATAGACCCACTGCCTACCCAAAAGCATGTCGTAAGAGTCGACTAATTGGGAGTTTCCTTCGAAGTCGGAGTGCATCTGCCTGAGAGGCAAGGAACCAATAGTCTGCATACAGATCTGTCAAACTGATGCACACGCAACACTCAGGTTCTGGAACAGGACTGCAGTCCAAAAGTGACCGAACAACCAGAACTTTCCACCGGAGTTTACAGCCAGTGAACGCGAAGAAGAAGAAGAAAGAAAAGAAAAATAAAGTTGCAGTTTGGTCTCAAAGCTCTATAACTTGGAGCTACATATTTTGCTATGACTTTTTTTTTAAATGACATTTTTATTTCTTCCTCTCTTGATTTAATTCCTATGTATCTATCTCATTCTCTGTGTGTGCGTGTGTGTGCATGTGTGTGTGTATGTGAGTGTATGTGCTTGGGTGCTCGTGTGTGCGTGCATGTGTATGTGCATGTGTGTGTTATGCATACATGTATGTATGCATGTAAATATGTATATATATATGTGAATGTGTGTGTATATGAATGTATGGATGTGTGCATCTATGTGGGTGTATATGTGGGTGTGTATGTTTGTGTGTAAGTGAATGAGTGGGCGTGTCTATGAGTGTACGCGTGCATGTATTTTACCACCCTTGCCTTTGTGTTTTTTCTTGATATTCATAATATGCACATTAGTATATGAACATAACATGCTTTTGGATGGTGATCATACTTTAGATCTTTTCTAGAGGACATGCCGGCGTGGTGGGTAATGAACAGAAAGACAGATTGGCTGGATCCACACCACTGGGCGGTGAATTGATACATGACAAGGCAGATGTGGTCAATGCTCCTCTTTGGGAACAAGCAACGGAATCAGTAGAGAAAGAAGATTATTATGGTCTGGAGAGAATGAGGCACCTGGGTGTAACCAGAGGGTCTGGCCGGCTCACTACACTCAGAAGAATGGCAAGACGGACTTTTAACCAGATTGTGACCGGTACCATCAGTATGGGAACTCTGCGCTGGCTGCTGAAGATGAGGACGGAGCATGCATGGGAATGCCCCGAGTGCTGTGATGTCAATTCTTGACTCAACTCAACTCAACATGCTTTTTTGATAGAATACAACTGCTGTTTGAAAGATGGACATTTGGAAATACTGAATGTAAGACAGGCCTGCGTGATCAATTTGTGACCCTATGAAAACGAAGTTTGTTCATTCGTTCGTTCGTTCATTCCATTTAAAATTCATAATTTTCTGCAGGCATTTGTTTTGAAAATGGTTACCAGAAAATGTCATGGGAAGGAAAGGTGGCCAGTTTAGTGCTGACAACATCGCAAATCCACTGCTGACTGGAATTTAAAAAATACAGATCAAGCATCAGGTGCTAAATGTTTGGATGGTGCGGGAAGGGTCCAAACGTTTTACTTTACATATGACCTGTATTGGTGAATTCACTGAATTCTGCCAGCAACGTTCAGCTTCAGATAATTATTAACTTCAGCAACAACATTTTCCCCAGACCGTGTGATCCT